CTCACTGTCCTGTTGTCAACTGAGTGAGACAGAGCGGGAGAGTGAAAGAGAGAGTGAGTGAGTGAGTGAGAGAGAGAGAGAGACAGAGAGAGAGAGAGCGGGAGAGAGAAAGAGAGGGAGAGACAGGGAGACAGAGGGAGAGAGACAAAGACGGTCACTGACATAAGGGATGGGCCTTCCAGTCCGTCTGAAGTTCAGTAGCCAATCAGAATGTGACGTTGATGTTTGTGGACAGAAATGTTTCACCTTGACAGGCATCTGACCGACAGTGACGGTGCAAAACAAAAGACTGCAGTGAGACACACAGCTATTTTATATCGAGAAATATTTGTGAATGGTCTCTCCAAAATTAGATACCATCTATGATGGTATAAATACACCATTCTTTTCAATGAGTGGGGATTATTCCTCAGCATTATAGCAATAGTTTAACATTTTAGGAAATGCACTTACTGGTTTTGTTGGTGGGAGTAAAAGCCTTTACACACCGCCTTCTTTCGTGCAATCACTTCGCACATCAATATATATTTCAAACTGTTTTGTCATCGTTCTTCCACCAAGAAAGATTAATATGTATGTGTTACCCATGAAGCAATGGATACTTAAACTATAGCACACGGGCTCTTGGTTGCTTATGTAGACTAACCCAGAAAGGCTGGATTATCTGAACTTTCTTTATTTCTTTAGAAAATGGCAACATTTTGAGCACGGGCTTGTATATTGCTTTAAAGACTTTGCGTACTTCAATAGAAGCCAATGAAAACTGTGCTCTCGGCTGCACCACTGGAGAAGCACTGATGGAATGAGGACGGACAGCTGTCGGCTCATCGTGCTTTAAAAAGAGAACTGCTCGGTGTACTACCAACATATTCCGAGCTGCAATAAAGTGTAACACATGTTGATGAAAGGGAAAGAGGATGATCTCAGCACCTCTGACAGCACTGAAGAAAAAAACATATACAGTAATCAGAATCAGATGGTTAACAACCAAATATTATTGTTTTGTATTTGCGGGTGTGTGTCAGTTGTTCCCTCCTTTATCTCAAACGGGTATTTCCAAACTGCCATACATGAATTACAAAATGATGTTCAGTATAAATGTTTTGGAGATTAAACCGTGTAATACTCATTTTACATGCATGTTACAGTAGTTCAATGTGGTGCAGTGTCACATCAGTGATGTCTCAAGTTTTACTGGTGAGGTTTTCGGTACATTTTAAGAGCATCTTACAGGCATGAAGTCAAATGATCAATGACTGAATTAAAAATGATAACGAATGTGTTTTATAACCTTTGCTCCATGGTGAAAGGCCGGTGCACTGACACTTCCTGGCTTCACAAGCAGGAAAATATAACAACAATAAACTAAAATGAGACAAGTGGGAAAAAAAATGAATACATAATGTGATGTCCATGTCGCTGTATTTTGATAAATGGAAGTATACAAGTTCACCACAGTTTGTTTTGGTGTTGAGACATCCAAACACTTACTGAAATGATGAATTTAAACTCAAATTGTGTTTATAATAACCTTTTGTCTCCTGAGTAGTCAATCAAAATGAGTAACAATTTGTTTTAATGAGTCTGTGTCTCAGGACCACAACCTAAATCATTGTGTGTCCCCTCAACAGGAGGCCTTCATGCTCACATAAAAGCCTTTTTCTAATGTTCATTCATGGGGGATTATTACGCAACTCATCCAAATAATGACTCACGGCCTGGTATTTGATTCGGTCCAACTTCACACGGTAAAGCCGAGGTGGAAAACAGCACCATGAATTACTGGCAGTAACTTTTACGTTTCATATTTAATAATATTTCGAGGCTTACTTTGATGCTACACAGTCGGTGAATAAGGGACGTAAGAGAGAGAGTAAATGATCTAAAAGTGTAAAGTAAGAGCTGTATTTCAAACTGAGCTGAAATGCCTCTTATCCTCCTAAGCCTCCAAAATACTCCAGTAAATACTTCACGCTAGGATTCAGCATTGGATCTTTAGCATTCCGCCAGCATAATGAGCAGGTCAGGGAGAGAAGGAATCCCCTTTTCTGTTGTGCAGGGGCCACGGGAAAAAAAAAAAAAGACATGCCATGTGAGTACAATAGAGTGACGCTCCAACTGGTGTCACCCAAGTGCAAAGAAACAGTCGCGCAGTAAAAACACAGATTATCTTTTCAGTCACGAATGCTTTGAGATGCCAAAAAGGAGACTATTAACCGTCAAGAAAGCGCCAAAAATGACCTAATTTAAATTCCACTTATAATCTAAGTAAGAAGTGAGAAGTGAGTAAAGTAACAAGATAAAATCACATGTTGGAGAATGTAATGCAACACTTTGCATTGCTATCAGTCCTAATCTTCCCAAAACCACCGGATTGGCTATTAGAAAAAATCCAGTATATACCCCTAAAATATTATTGACAAGTATTCCCTGGAATATTAAAGCCACAGTGAGTGGCACCATAACATAACATAACAAGCCACAGTGCACAGTGGTGGCTTATTAAGAGCACTGAATATGCTCAAGAACATTAAACTAGGCTGCATAAAGTAAGGATTCTCAGTGTTGGAAACCACACACTCTTCATGCAAAGGACCCCCCCCCCTTACTTTAGCACAGGGGGTCAGAGAAGAAAAGACGCATCATATGACTACAATAGAATCACATTCCTTAAACTGACCGCAGTTGAAAAGAAACTGACAAACGTTACCGTGCAGTGCGACGACCCAGATAGAAAGAGAGAGATCAGTGCAGCTGGGAAGAAAGGAAAAAATGGTGTGCTTTAGAATATGAGGGGGAAATCCTCTATTTCATGTGAATCTTTCGAATAGCAACACACTGTAGGAAAGTTGTATCTTAATTTGAATGTTTGTGTTGTGGGTAGCAGGGTTATGATCTGGCTTTTCTGATAATTATACATTTTTACAACGGGTACATCTGAATCCTGACCTAATTGAAGCAATTTCAAGTACTCCAAACAGCCCCAAACCCAGTGGATCAATCCCAGCCAGCTTTGGGCAGAGAACCACAGCTCAAGTGGGTGACAACTGATGGAAAACTGCTCTCCATCCTCTGGTCTGTTTATTCCAGCAAAGAAAACTGAATCGAATCTTTACTTTATCCAAAAACAGATAAACAGGATGGCATCCCCTTACTAGAAGAATATGCATTACCCTACATTTGGGAGTATTACTACATTTTTGAGTCACATGCCAGTTTCTGGTGGGTCCCCCCACATAACAAGAGTGCTGGTTATGTTTCTATTAGTCACATATTGGGTTTCTTAATCCCCTTTCACACATGCACTGCAACCCTGAACTTATCTCGACATTATCCGGAGGAGCGGGATGAGAACGCGAATGCCCAGATCAGTTAGACGGGACATTTAACAGACTTTACCCTGCCGGCTCCCTACTACAAAGTCAGAGCGATGTCCGATTGAGCAAATATGTGAATAGAGCGCTCATTGTCCGGAGAATTCACAGTGAGTGATTGGATGATATATTTCCTAGTGACTGGCGTGAAACTGGAAGAATACAAACATCCGAGGGTGAAGAAAGGGGGTCATTTCCGCAAAGACTGCAACGAAAATGTCTAACTGGACAGACGTCATGATTCGGAGCCGCTGTCGGTAAGAGCCAACGCCGAAATTGTCAAAATCAAGCAACGGCAAGAGGCTCTGTTGTTTATGACCACATTGTGAACCGGCGAGGTGACCGTGGTGTTCTTGCGTCATGTCCCGCCTATCGAATTGCCAGATTCTTGCAAGTACACATCTCTACCTCCCAGGCGCCACTCCTTGTCCAAACCAAACAACATATTTCCATCAGGTGAGAACGGCCCAGAAACACAAACTCCTCTTGTGTGCTACATGTGTGAAAAGGGAAACTCAGGACAATATCCGGACCCGATTCTCCAGACACTGTCCGTAGTTCATATGCGAACTTGGCTTTCGTTAATAAAGGAAAGATAGTTGATTAAGACAATACTGATGGCACAGGAATCAAACAGACAGAAAAGGAAACGACAATAAAGTAAAAAGGATGGAACATCAACCTGCAATCCGCTGCAGGTATACCTTTGATTTCCAACACGGTGTCCCTCTCAGTAACGCAGTGAGAGGCTGCTTATAGTGCTGCAAACAGAACAGACCTTTCATGCGAGGGACCTGGAGAACATATGGCTTCGATTAGAGGGCAGGGCAGTGAGAGAGAGAGAGAGACGCCAGCGGAAAGTGCACAGAAACAGAGAGAGAGGGGAGGGGGGGGGGG